TCTTCTTATGGCAGCCATAAAAATTGCTCATGTGGTGCCATGAACGACCGTAACGAGAAAGATGAGCAGAATAAGGTTATGCAATTTTTAATGGGGCTTGATGATTCATATGCAGCAGTGAGAGGTCAGATTCTGCTTGTAAAGCCATTGCCTTCGGTGCTCAAAGTTTTTTCCATGGTTAATCAAGAGGAGAAGCAACATGGAATTACAGCCGTCCCACAACCAAGTCTGGAAGGAGTAGCCATGGCCATTCAAGGTGGTCGCGGCAATCAACAAAGTCGTGGCAGCCAAGGGAATCGCAAACCGCTCCATTGCGATTATTGTGACACAGCTCACCACACTAAGGAGACTTGCTACCAACTCCATGGATATCCCGAGGACCATCGTCTTCATAAAAAGAACAAGGGAAAGGGCCGCAGTAAGGAGGGAAAACCAGCGACCAACCATGTTCAAGCTTCAACTTCTACCACTTCTTCATCTACCTCAGCAACACCGATGACTTTCACTCCTGAGCAGCTTCAACAACTCTTTGCTATGATGGCTGGAAATCTACCATCTGAAGCACAGACCAATGCCGTCACAGGTTTGTCTCCCCATCATTCACAAGAGTGGATAATTGATAGTGGCGCTACAGATCATGTTACGGCACTTCCCTTATCGAACTCTACTGTGAACAAGTCTTTGCCTCCAGTAAAACTTCTGACTGGTGAAAGGGTTTCAATTAGTAGTATTGGCAATTTTACTTTTGATCCCAAACTTTCCTTAACTAACGTTTTACGAATTGCCTCCTTTTTGGTTAATTTGATATCCGTTAGTCGTTTAACAAAATCCCTTCGATGTTCCATAACTTTTTTTCCGGATTTTTGTATCTTCCAGGACCTGGAGACGAGAAAGATGATTGGATGGGGTAGACAACGTGGCGGTCTTTACTATCTCACCAAACCAAACAATCGCTGCACCACTTCACCGTCATCCAGTTGCATTAATTCCATTTCATGGCATCGTCGTCTTGGTCATCCCTCTCCACAACGACTCCACCTTTTAGCTAAGCAATTGTTAGATGTTTCTTCTCATTTAAATAAACCTTGTGATGTTTGCCCTTTGGCAAAACAAACTAGATTGCCTTTTCCATTAAGTCATATTGCCAGTAAACACATTTTTGAGCTTGTTCATTGTGACATTTGGGGACCGCACAAAATTTCTACATATAATGGGGCTCGATATTTCCTAACCATTGTTGATGATTTTTCTCGCACCACTTGGCTCTTTTTTATGCGAAATAAATCTGAAACACAACAGTTGCTTAAGACTTTCTTTTCTTATGTAGAAACTCAATTCCATCACAAAATTAAGAAAATCCGAACTGATAATGGTAGTGAGTTTTTGTCCCTACATTCTTTCTTTTCCGAGAGCGGTGTGATTTTTGAACGTTCTTGCACATATACTCCACAACAAAATGGAGTAGTCGAGCGGAAACATCGTCATATTTTGCAAGTAGCTAGGGCACTATGTTTTCAAAGTCACTTACCTTTGTATTTTTGGGGAGATTGTGTCCTTACTGCCATCTATCTCATAAATCGCTTACCCACACCACTTTTGTCAAATAAATCCCCTTTTGAGGTTCTTTATGGTCATCCTCCATCGTACGCACACTTACGTATTTTTGGATGTTTAGCCTATGCCACTAATGTTCACCCTCTTCATAAATTTGATGCACGAGCCAGAAAATGTGTCTTTATAGGATATCCCTTTGGTCAAAAAGCGTATAAGTTGTACGACCTTTCTACTCACAAAGTGTTCACCAGCCGCGATGTCATTTTTCATGAGTCTCATTTTCCTTTTATCACCACTTCTTCAACCCAACCTCCTGAACCTGTCTTGCCTCCTCCTCCTTATGATGCCATTGAGATGCCACCTACTCCCGTCGTCATTGAGCCTTCCGCCCCTCCTGTTGCCATTGAGTCTCCATCCACCTCCCTTGCTCCACCTCTCCTAGACCACACCGTCACCGATAGTCCTTCTCCGTCACCTGGTCTCCCTCTTGCACCCCCCTCAATACGACATTCTGATAGGCCTAAACGTACCCCTACTTATCTTGATGACTATGTTTGCTCTCATGTTTCCTCGTCTTCCCCACTCCAAGCATCGACTCCAGGTTCTTCTGCCAAAGGTACTCGTCACCCTTTATGCAAGCATATTTCTTATCAACATCTTTCTCCATCTTATCAAAGTTTTATTGCCAATATTACTCTTCCTATTGAACCTAACACATATGCAGAGGCTGCTAAAGATCCTCGGTGGCGCGACGCTATGGCCTCGGAGATTCAGGCTCTCGAAGCTAATGCCACTTGGTCTTTGACTGCTCTTCCCCCTGGCAAGATCCCTATTGGTTGTCGTTGGGTCTACAAAATCAAGCACAAGTCTGATGGCACTATTGAGCGTTACAAAGCTCGTTTAGTGGCCAAGGGTTACACTCAAATTGAGGGTGTTGATTATCAGGATACATTTTCCCCGACTGCCAAGTTGGTTACCTTTCGTTGTCTCCTTGCTCTTGCGGCTGCTAGTGGCTGGTCTCTCCATCAAATGGATGTCCACAATGCTTTCCTCCATGGTGATCTCCTTGAGGAAATATATATGGTTCCACCTCCTGGTCTTCAGCGACAGGGGGAGCATTTAGTATGTCGCCTTCACAAGTCTTTGTATGGATTAAAGCAGGCTTCTCGGCAGTGGTTTTTTAAATTTTCTGAAGCCATTTCTGCAGCTGGGTATACACAGTCCAAAGCCGATTATTCCCTTTTTACAAGAAAAGTTGGCAAATCGTTCACAGCTCTCCTTATTTACGTTGATGACATCTTGATCACTGGTAATGACATGACGGCTATTGGTTCTCTTAAATCTTTTTTGAATAAACGCTTCCGCATCAAAGATTTAGGAGCCCTTAAATATTTTTTAGGAATAGAGATTGCTCGTTCAAGAAAGGGGATCTTTATTTCTCAAAGAAAATATTTATTGGACATTTTGAAAGATGTTGGTTTTTTGGGAGCACGCTCAGCTAGTTTCCCCATGGAACAGAATCTAAAGCTACTTCCTGATGAAGGAGATTTACTTCATGATCCGTCCATCTATCGGAGATTGATAGGACGTTTGATATATTTAACTATTACCAGGCCTGATATTACTTTTGCAGTAAACACGTTAAGTCGTTTCATGCAACATCCTCGCAAGCCTCACTATGATGCAGCTTTACGTGTTTTGAGATACTTGAAGAACACTCCAGGCCAAGGTATTTTGTTTTCCTCACAAAGTTCGTTAAGATTGAAGGCCTTTTTGTGATGCTGATTGGGCAGGGTGTCCAGTAACTCGACGTTCTACTACCGGATATTGTGTTTTCCTTGGAGATTCTTTAATTTCATGGAAAAGCAAAAAACAGAAGACAGTCTCATTGTCTTCTGCAGAAGCAGAATACCGTTCAATGGCTGCTACCTGTTGTGAGCTCACCTGGTTACAAAGTCTTTTATGTGATTTACACATTAAAGATATGGGTCCTGCTCTTTTACATTGTGATAACCAAGCAGCTCTTCACATTGCCTCTAATCCTGTTTTTCATGAGCGGACACGCCATATAGAGATTGACTGCCATTTTGTTCGAGATAAAATTCAAGAAGGAAAGGTAGTCACCAAATTTGTTCCATCTTCAAAGCAGGTTGCAGACATATTGACGAAGCCTTTAGGAAAAGATCAATTTCGTTTTTTGCTGAGCAAGTTAGCAGTTTTTGACATTCACTCGCCAACTTGAGGGGGAGTGTTGAGATATGATTAGTTTCCTTCCTATTTGGTAGCATGATAATCATTGACTATCAGTGATTTATTCTTTCCCTTTGTACAAATATTTACTTAGCTGATTTGTAGGAGTTAGAAGTTGTGATTGTATTCTTGCAGTTTGTATAAGAACCCTAGCGCAGCTTGTATATTCATTGAGAATTAATACAGAAAATTCTTTTCTGCCATTCCATTCTTAAGAGTAACGGCAGTGCCCACGGTCCTTTGTTTGGCCTGCTGATTTGGTTTCTTGTTCGCCCTCCCTTGGGACTTTGATGATTAATAGTTTTCTGAAGAAAAAAAAAATCAATACAAAATCATTCTTGCAAAAAATTACCTAAATTGGAATGATTGAGCCCTTTGATTTTCTTTATTGTTTACCATGTTCGTTTGCTTATATTGTTGCCATTAGCTAGATATCTAAGCAATGCTCAATTTGAGTGAGATTTTACACGAATAATCCTTATTCAATGGTGGCCTTCAAAATGATCGGTTTGGATCATCATGAATCTTGCAAAATGTGCTCCAACGTGTAGCTAGAAACGTATTTGCTTACTAATAAGTTAGCGCTTCAAAATGATCGGTTTGGACCATCAATATTTTAAAGGAGTTTATAACACTCTAGATAAATTTAAGTGTGTTGATTCCAGATAATGTAGTTCAAGAAACTTCAGGTGTATTTCTGGTTTGCCATAAAAAAGATTTTTTTAAGAGTTATTTTTATTCAAACAACACCGTTGTCTAAGTGAACGCACTGGGTCAACTTAAAGAAAATTAAATTTTGTGTTTCTGGAAGAAAAAGAAGTTGCAGTTAAATTTTGTGTTTGTTAGAAACATTCAACAATGGTGTGCTCTGCATTAGTATAAAAAATAGAGAACTTTAACGAAAAGCTCTCGGTATTGTTCACTTTAACGAAAAATCATATTTTTACACTAAAAAATTAATCATGGTAGTATTCACTTTACCTTTTATTTTATCTTAAAACTTAAAGTTTTAAAATCATTTTCATTAGTTTTTCTTAAAAAATAATAATGGAGCCACACAAAAATAAAATAATGGAGCTTACAGTTCACCAAACGAATAAAATAAAAATAAAAATAAAAAAGAGGTAAAATAGAGCTTACGCGGTTTGACCGTCGGATAGAAGAAGCAGTTGAATCACGTCCATCAAGCTTACGCGGTGAAGTTCCGTTGACGACGACATACAGAGAGACTTGTAGCAAGTACAGAGAGACAGTGTTTCCTTTTTTCTGACGGATCTTCAGGTCCTCTCATGACCCCTCTGACTTGATCTGTGACTTGGTTTTCTACATACACCCAGGTTATTGCTCATCTTTCTGATTCATGGTTATTTCTGTTCATGTTATTGGCTAATATAATATTATGAATGCTGAATTGTTTTTCTGGTCATGTTTTTGCTTGAAAAACTAGTACCACCATTCCAGTTAGCGTGTATTCAATGGCATCGACCACCCAACGAGCCACTTCATCTGTTCCTTCAGATCTTGAATGGAAGTATGATGTCTTTTTGAGTTTTAGGGGTGAGACGCGGTTAGGTTTTACCGCCCATCTACTTGATAAATTGCAAGAACAAGGAATTACAAGAACTTTCTTTGATGACAAAGATCTTGAAATACGAAGGAAAGTTTCTGAACTCTTCTCGGCAATTGAAAAGTCGAGGCTTGCCATCATTGTCATCTCTCCAGACTACGCTTCTTCAAAATGGTGCCTGAACGAACTCGTAAAGATTCTTGAATGCATGGAAGAGAGAGGGGCAGTTCTACCAGTTTTCTACGAAGTGGAACCCTGCGATGTTGGAGATAGGTCTGGGAGTTTTGGGAAAGGCTTCACTGAACTCGAAGAGAAGTATAAGGATGACAAAGAGATGGTGGGACGATGGAAAGCTGCCTTAACAAAAGTGGCAAAAATCAAAGGGTGTACTTCAAAGAATAGGTTGGCATTACTTGTTTTTTTCTCTTTCACTCAATTCAAAAGCTTTCGCAAATCAGCACTTGACCCTTCATTCTTGCTATTTTTCTATAATTCGGTTGAGTTTTGCTAAAGTCCAGTTCAATTCGGCTAAAGCCTGATGCATGAAAAATATTTGATAAGTTTTAGGAAAATCGTAGAATTCATATCATTTAATTTTTGCACAGTGATGAAGGTGCTTGATAACCACTTAATCCCATAACTGCACAACTTAATGAGGAAACATCGTGTCCTTGTAGACTTTGTTTAAAGTTCCATCCTAGAGAGCCTTTCTTTTTACCATATATTTGGTCCATTTGAGAGTATAAGGGGAAAAAATTGATCCAGTTAAGAATTCATATGTTTGAAATCCAATACTGCTGCGCTTTTTTGTCCTCCCCTTTTCCTAAACCGTCTCTAATTTGGTTCAATACCAAACCACCCTCTTATAAATGGACGCAGAGACCACTTGGTACTATGACTTCAGGTAGACGAAAACAAAATAGTCCGTGGCTCTTTTATTTCTTTGTGTATTAGGTCATATCTTGAACATTGTCTTTTTTTTCTTCTTGTAGAGAAGAACCAGAGCTCATCCAAAACATTGTTGAAAATGTACGGAATGAAGTAGGACCTTTATCATTGGAGCCTGCAGAAAAACTAGTTGACATTGATTCGAAACTGAAGGAACTTGATGTGCTTTTAGAACTAGAGTCAAATGATGTTCTCTTTATAGGAATATGGGGGATGAGTGGGATAGGTAAGACAACCCTTGCCAAAGCATGTTATGAGAGGATTCGTCATAAATTTCAAGCCAAAAGCTTTCATGGCGGAGTTAGAGAGGATTCTAAGGCACACGGTATGGCCAGTGTACAGAGGAAGCTTTCCAATAGCCTTATGAAAAAAAATATACAAGACTGGGATGCCGGTGAAGCTGCCAGTTGGAGAAGTTTCTTACTTGAGAAAAAGGTTCTCATCATTCTTGATGACGTGGACGATAGTAACCATTTAAGAGAGCTATGTGGAAAACCAGATTGGTTTCGTCAGGGGAGTAGAATCATTATTACCACTAGAGATGAACGCTTGCTAATTTCACATGGTGTAAAAAAAGTATTTGAGGTGCCGGAGCTGAGTAAAGTTGATGCTCTTAAACTTTTTAGCTTGAGAGCCTTCCGTAGAGAGAATCCGCCTGAAAGTTATAAGGCTCTGTCTGACAGTTTTGTGGACTATGCCAGTGGCCTTCCATTAGCTCTTGAAGTCTTGGGGTCTTTTTTGTATGGAAGAGATCTAGATGCATGGAGCAGTCAATCGCGCAAACTAGAGGGTGATTTCACATTGGATGAAAAAATTATGAAGATTCTTATAACAGGTTACGAGGGATTAGATCCGCAAGGGAGAGAGATTTTCCTTGACATCGCATGTTTCTTTAAAGGAGAGGACAAAGATCGAGTATCTGAAATACTTGACAGTTGTGGTTTTAATCCAGGTATTGACATAGATGTCCTTATGGAGAAGTCTCTGATAAAAATTTCAGATAACAGGGTGTGGATGCATGATTTGTTACAAAAAATGGGTCAAACAATTGTTGTTCAACAATCTAAACAACCTGGTGGACGAAGCAGATTATGGCTTTCTAAGGACATCTTTCATGTTTTGAAGGAAAAAACGGTAAGAGCTTATCTAATACGTCAAATATAAATTAATCTAACAATTAAGAGGCATGTAAAAAAAAAAGTTTGTTTTACTCATCTTCCTTTACTTATAATGTGCATATTATACTGCAATTCACTTGTTGTTTTGTTCTTGGTTATCAGGGGACACCGACGGTTGAAGGCATTGTCCTAGACTTGCTTGAATCAAAAGAGGTCAAATGCCATCCTGAAGCTTTTTCTCAGATGTTTAATCTTAGATTGATCAAAGTCCATAACGTGCACCTTCCTGAAGGACTCAACAGTCTCCCTAATTCCTTGAGATTTCTTGAATGGATAGATTATCCTCTAGAAGATCTCCCATCAGAATTCAACCCGGAAGAGCTCGTTGAACTTAGTATGTGTCATAGTAGAATTAAACAGCTCTGGAATGAAAAAAAGGTATACACCTACATCTGCATTATTATTGACCTTGCTTGTTAGAATATATTTCATTACCTTGTTTGAGTTTTCTGGATCTAATTATTCTTTGTTTCTTGTAGACATTACCGAGTTTTGGCAATTTGAAAATGTTAAAAGTACCTGTAAGTGATGTTTAAACAAAAAAGTAAAATTTTATTTTGTAAAATTACGTTACTGTCTTTATTTTTTGGGAACTTTAACGAAAAGCTCCCGGTACTGTTCACTTTAACGAAAAACCATATTTTTACACTAAAAAGTCAATTCTGGTACTATTCACTTTACTCTTTATTTTGTCCTTATCATTAAAACTCAGAGTTTTCAAGCCATTTTCATTAGTTTTCCTTTATTTTTTTTATTGAGATAAAAAACTAAATAGTCTTTCTACTATTTTTTAATGAACAATTTTTTTTTATTAATATGTAGTTTTGAACAATATTAATATGTATCTAACAAAAAAAAACAATACTTATATGTAGTTCAAGTCAAAATAATGGAGATTTGCTGCTGCGCATCGGACGATTGTATAGCCGTTGACATTTCATTATCCATTCCTATGCTAGAAGACTCTCAGATCTGGATTTGATCGGTCTGAGTTTCCATAAGAAAGAAGAGAGAGAAGAGAGCAGAGATTTCCGTTGGGATCCATGGCCACCACGCATACAAATGAGTACGATGTCTACTTCAGTTTCAGTGGCCAAGACACCCGCATGAGTTTCGCGAGCCATCTATATGCGGCTCTGAGTAGAAACGGAGTCGTCGTATGTAGACACAAAGATGTACGTTATGGGGCAGAACCCAATAACTCACTAATCCGCAAGGCAATCGAAAGTTCAAGAATTGCTTTGTAGGTTATGTCCATCTTCTAATGGCAGGAATCATGTTTTCTCGTCTACTTATTGTCTCCACAAGATTGGTGTGAAAATAAATCTAATAATGCTGAAATAAGAACTTTGAATTAGTTTCTTGTGAAATTTATAAGACAGAATTCATGCTTTTAAAACTTTAGTTCTAATTTTTTACCAAAATAATGACAGTGCATCCGCTTGTTGTTGCTAATTCTCCTCCATTTTTCTTCTTTTTCTTGGATTTGTCAATCATCTTGAACAAGTAGTCTCTCACTCCTTTTGCTCAATTATATTTGTTGATTTGGTCCAATGCCCCACAAATTGTTATAAAGTTCCATGTGATGTATGTTACGGAGGTTGCAAATAAGAGGGATTGGATGAGATGTGCACATATAATTAAAGCAGTAGCTTTCGCCCTTCAGGAGTTTCGTCTTAGAGTATTTTTGGTACGCTTCAATAATGTCCTTCTTTTTCACTATATTGATTCTGGATCCATAATAGGGCATGTTATTTAAGAGAATAAACTAAAACACCATATTGATTATGGATCCATATTGTTAATCAAATAGAAACAAAAAAACTGTACTATTTATGGAACCATTGTAATAGAATGTTGATTATATTTATTTAAGTTATTTAAGTAATCAACATATGAGGTCAAGAAAAGACTATTTAAAGGTTATAAGAAAACAAGCGTTATCAAAGTGAAGTAAAAAAAATACCATTTTGCAGAAACATTGCCCATTCAATGAATATGAATCGTGCAAACTTACATATTACTGTAAATTCATCGAGAATATTAGAAATTTTGTAGTATGTACCTCTATTTCTTCTATGTTGCTTTTATTTCCCAATTTTTTTTTGTTCATTTTCGTCTGGATGCAAATCAGAATACTCTGAATTGGAAATATAATTTATTTTTTAGAATCTCAAAATGCAAATATACATATGTAGTAAATCAAAGTAAGAAATCATCAAGAATATAAGAAGTTCTAGGTTCATACCTGTGTTTCTCTGATTTGGATTCTGCAAATATACATCTCGAATGTTTTCAGGTTTTCGTCTTCAAATGAAGTTTTTGGGTTGAGAAATTTTGGATTTGATGTATTGATTATTGTTTGAAACTTGAATCGAACTTGAAATTGGTTTCAGAAATTGAGGTTTCGAATGGATGTTTTGATTTTTTGGTGCGGTTTGAAGGGGTTGTGTGGATGCAAATTTCCTCCTCTTTGATCTTGGACAAAATTACACTTACAAAACAATTAACACATTTGGTCAAGGCCAAAAGCCTCACATGCCCACGATGAATTGTGGGAGGGGGGCTTTTGACACACCCTAACCCGAAGACTAGGACGTGCTGGCCGTCACGTGAGCGTGACGTAACCATAAACGCAAGCGGAAACGATTAAATAATAATATACGAGTCAACGAAAACCACTAATTGCAGTTATTAACAACCTAGCATTCTATGTGCCTAAGAGTGTACTAAACACACATAAACAAAGCATAAGCGTCTAGGTGCAGTCAAGTAGGACCATAACTAATTTACAACACCCTCGGGTGAAATCCTACATTTATTTAGTATGTCAGAACGCCGAAGTAGTCCTCGTAGGCCACCAACGCCTCAACTATCAACTAGAACCTGGAGGGGCGAAAAACAGAAAACGTGAGTGGGCGAAAATAAAGCTTTTCCAAATCATTTCCTAAATCCACATTTATAACCCCTTTTTGAAAACCTGTATACTTTCCCAGAAAAATAGTATATAGCATATATAAATCTCAACCATCTCGATCATCAATCTTATAACAGATTCAATAAAGAATGTACCATGCCAAATTCAACAGTTTAGTATGAATGCATTGACATAATATAAATTAGGTAAAAGAAAGTAATCAATCGGAGGCCCTCTAATGGTCCTGAACGATTGAACCTAGAGCTCAAAATCTATCACTCTCACTCTGCCGGAGTTACCTCTGTGACCTGTCCGGCCTTTTGCACATAAGTCGGAACCACCTAATGTAGTCTATACGACTTAATGGTTAATATTACGCTCTAGTGCTTTTCTCATCAATCATCTGTACACATAATCTAAGGTCACCCACCAGTCGAAATCTCACTAACACTCTACGACTGGCCCGTCGCACCCACTCCGCGTGGACTGTGCGACCAGCATCTACTTGGATCCAAGGCCAGCGTGCGATGCGGTGAATACTATAAGCACTAAACCATGGTGCAGGATATGAGCTCAATATATATCATCATCGTCATAACAGTAATTAAATACTCACCTGATACTCACTTGTGCGTCCACAACACCATCTTACATATATGCATCATACGACAGTTCATAATATTCATAACATTCTATGCATGGCAATCAAATCATATTTCATTTCATTTCAATATACTTTTCATTTAATTTTGATTTCTGGGGAAATCGAGTATATAGGTATATATATAAAAACAAATGCCCACTCACTGGTATGTCGCCGGGTCGTAACCCCCTTGACGCCCCTGGATGTGCTCGTCCTCGTTATAAGTACCACCTAGAAGTGAAATAACTAAAAACGTCATTTAACGCACAATTAACGCACCTAAACCAAACTAGGTAAATAAATTCTTCATACGATGCTCAAATTGGGTATATGAATATACCACGATGACCTACACAATCTCAGGATCATCCCCATATTTTTAAAATAATTTTTTGACCCTTCACGCGCCCCCACGCGCCTGAAATGGCACGGACCTACGCGCCCCCCACGCGCGGCCACGTGACATGCATGCTGACGGCACAGTAACGGCAGTTAGGAATATTTCGTTAAAAACTAACGGTTTCCGTTAAGGTTAACTAACGGCGTTAGCATATTCCGTTAAAAATAACGGAATATGCCGTCGTCTTCTCCGATTCACCCTCGCCGGACTCCGGTCACCGGAAAACTGGGAAAAAATTCTATTTAACTATTCTCACTCGTTTTTCGTCCAATTTTCTCGAATTTTATACCAAATTGAAGCATTTAACATGTACAATCACGTTGGAAGGGTTTTAAACACTAAAAACCACGGGATCATACCTTCCAAAATTTCACGAAATTCGGCCAAACGTCGAACTAGGTATTCCGACGTCCAAAACTTCCAACCAACCCACTCCGAGCTTCCTTAGGACTTCCTAAAGCTCACTATGATCTTAGTTTGGCCTAAAACACAACCACTTCAAAGATCATGAACAATACATAATCACGGTGTCTTTAGAAACTAGGGTTTTCGAAATGAAACTCACCTTAAACTGGTACCTACGTGATCGTGAAGTCCTCAGGAGTGCAATGGTGGTTTTAAATCCGGCGTTGGTGTTGATTTTAGGTGGTTTAGGTGGTTGCCCGAGAGTTAGAGAGGGTGAGAGAGAGAGTGTGAAGGTCTGAGGAAGAGAGAGAGTGTGCATACGGAAAATGGGGAGGGAATCAGGGCATGAGGCCCTACCTAAATCCCAAACACAACATTACAACCTAGTTTTAGTCCCTAACATAAATTAACATTCTAATTAACCATAGTTTAGGAACTTTAGATAAAACTAAATGTCGAATTTACGCACCTTAATCCCGTTTAAGGTCACTTTTGTAATTTCATGTCCTCGGTATTTATAATTCCGGGACGGGCTGTGACAGCTTTGGTCAGAGAATCTTTGATATCAAAGTTAGAATTTAGAGAGAAAGTGTTTGAGAATTTTTAAAGAATTTTAGCAAGAGAGTTGGAAGTGGACTTTGAGGAGAATGATGGGGTTTAAATAGGAGAGTGGCCGGCCTCCTTGGATGAGAGAGGACTGGCCATCTAGCTCCCTTTGTGGGCTAGGTTCTTGATTTGTGTTAAATTGGGAGTTATGGAATAATTAACTAATTACTTAGTCAATTAATAGAATAATTGCCTAATTGATTAGCTAATGAAAGGGGAAAATGAGGTAGAAATTATAAGGCATGGCTGGCCCCCTTGGGAGAGAAGGTGACCGACCTTATGTGTGTTTTTTGGGAGTAATTGGTGGTTTAATTGGCTATTAATAGATTAATTAGGTAATAAATCTATTAATTAGCCAATCAACATAATTTAAAAGGAATGAATTGGGAATTATCTTGTAGAAATGATTTGATGAGGATGGATGAAATAGGCTTTGAATTGTTACCTATTTTTGGCAATTTTGACTTGGTTGAGTGATGAGTGTCTGTTGCTTGACCGTAAGAATCTTAGTATGCCTCAAGGGTATTTTTATCTTCTTCTTCCCAAAAATCCATGTGTCGCCTTGTGATTATTTTTGGCTACACAAATGCCTTAATACCTACTGGGCTGCTCGCAGGAAAGGGCAGCAGGTGTAGAAATCTCCAACTTTGATGTAGACTTTCTCTTGGACTTGGAATTATATTCTTTTAGGAAAGGGAAATAAATCACCTCCAATACCTATTTAATCCTACCTTAAGTAGGGGATTAAATCAACTTCGAAGAGCAATTATTTATCCCTACAAGAAAGAGAGAAAGCTAGAGGATATTTGTTCCCCATCCCCTAGCATTCTTCTTTGCTTGCCCGTGCAAAGAATCGTCTTCCGTTGATTTCTTTGTCTTCTTTGTGGGAGGTGCTGCCACGGGGCAGCCGTTGGGGTGGTGCGACACATCGACTGACAGGGGCCAGGAGTCGGTTTAGCATGGCCCAAGGAGGAGGTGTGGCAGAGGCCATTGCTTGTGCTGCTCGGCTTAATTAAAGCCAAGGATTGGCTTGGCATCGGCTGAGGAAGTGGCGTGGCATGGCCAACGGTTTGGGCTGCCACGTATGGGCTGTTTGCCAAAAATAAGGAAACTGCTTAAGTTTGATTTCTTAGCTACCATAGACGGAGTAGTCAAGGATGGAACTGCCAAGATCGGAGCTGCTCAAGATGAAGTGTCAGATGAGTGAATTATTAAGTGCAAAAGTGGCTACTGCCCCCTGACCATTTGCTGCCTAGCTGATATTCAAGCATTCAATATTTTGAGCTATGTAGCATTCTTGCACTGACGAGCTTACCCAGATGGGTGTCGAGAAATTAGTTTACCCTCTGGCACTGGAGAGTAATTAGTTTATCCTCTTGTATTGGAGAGCAAACCCATATGGGTGTGTGGGAATTGGTTTACCTTCTTGCACTAGTTACAGTCTTGGCCTCATACAAATTGTTCAGCTTTGCCAAAGGTAGTTTTTGGTCACAATTGTCTTGTTTTCTCAGCTTTTGCTACTCTTCTTGGAGGACCCCCGACCTTTTCGATTTCAATCCATGTGGACTTTACATTCAAGTTTTTCTAATTTGGTTGCTAAGTGATGGCAATCAACTATTGCATACGGGTGTCCCATGTTTGTTATGTTTTATGTCACTATTGCTAAGGACAAACTTCATAATATCCAAAATACTGTTTTTCTGATGGGAATTTTCAAGAGAGGTTTAATGAGGAAGTTGTGGCTAAGACAACTGTCCTAGATGCTCTTCATATGTGACTTTTTGGCTTACTAAAGGTGATCGTAATATTGTTTTTTTCCATACTTATGCTCAAGGTAGGCTTTCTTCTTCTAGGATTGTTACTCTATTGGATGGTGATAATGTGCTATCTTCCCTTGTTGATATTGCTAGTCATGTGGTAAACTTTTATCAGTCTTTATATAACTCTTTGTTCACTTCAAATGGAATTGAGGATGTTTGTGGTGTAATTCCACCTATGGTTAATGAAGAGGAAAATCTTGCTCTTTCTTGTTTACCTTGTGCTAATGAACTTAAAAAAGCCATTTTTTTTCTATGGATCCCTCAAGTGCTCCGGGACGTGATTCTTTTCCTACTTCTTTCTATCAATCATGCTCGGATTTGTTGATTTAGATGTTATTGCATTTGTACAAGATTTTTTTAAGCGGGGCTGACTTTATCTAAATATTAATTGCAACTTTGTGGTCCTTATCCCCTAAAGTAGAAAGGGTTGCTACTAGGGACGAAGCCATAAATTTAACTAAGAGAGGGCACCTTAAAAATTTCAGCTCATTTTTTGGACAAATAAAGCTAGTTTTTTTATTTTTTTATTTTTACAAATGCCTAATTTTATTACCCTATTGTCTAATTTTGTTTTTAATTGTTGTATTGGAAATCTAATGCTCATTCGTACTAATTAACCAAATACATGCAACTCAGCAAGGCTTAAACATTAGTACGTGAGGGAAAAAAAGGGAGAATGGGTGTTTAAAGCCCTCCCCCCAGGACTTACCTCCCTCTGTCCATGGCTGCTACCATTGCTTAGTATCGACCCATTGCTCTTGCTTGTGAATGAGTTTATCAAGATTGGTATGGTCAGTTTCATGGTGGTTTCTGCCAAGGAATTGTCATTGCAACTCTTTTTTTTTTTTGCAGAACTATCAATAGTTATTATTGGTGTAGAGTTTGCTTATAAGTGGGGTCGACATTGTCTTTGGCTGGAAAGTGACTCTTCTAGTGTTGTTTCTACTCTGCAATCGACTAATTTTGATCCTCATTAGCCTTTTCGTACGCAATAGTCTATTTGTTTGGATTGCATTCGGAAGATGACATTCTATCCTCTCACATATATCGTGAAGGAAATGTGGTTGCAGACACTTTGGCTAACATGGTCTTGTCTTCTCCAACTTTGGTATGGCATGATTCAAATCCTATGGCGGTTCTTCAGACTATGTTGGCTTTCTTAACTTCCGCTTCTCAAATAAATGTGCATCTAGGCATACAAGTTTGTCTCACCTTCTTGTCTTTCATCTTAACCTTGTGATGTTGCTTGTATCTTTGTTGTTTTTGTTTCTAGAAAGGTAAAGTTTATGTCTTCCTTTTTTCATGTATCTTTTATAATTTTTTCTTGTGTTATGAGAGGTTAAGTTTATGTCTCCCTAACTAGGGGCATTTTTTCTTCTTCTTTCGATATCAATAAAATTCTCTTCGTACCGTCGAGATTTTCTATAAAAAAAGAAAGAGAAAAGTGTATTTAACTAGAAACCGATTTTATAGTATGTCTGGATGTGGAAAAACAAGTCAGGAATTGAAGGATGGGAATTGGATTTGATATGCTTGGCTACTTGACGCGCATAAATCAACAATTGCCGCACGGAAAAATTCATGAAAAGTGGACTCTAATTTTCCGAGTTTAAATTCCATCATTTCACAATTTCAATTAAGAGAGAAACTTTTCACAATTTCAATTAAGAGAGAAACTGTATCTAATTACAATTTCATTTCACTACCCACCATCTAATCACAATTTTACAAGTTCAAATAAAACTTTGACCTAAAAAAATAAGGAAATATAGAAAAGAAGAAACGAACTTCAATAGTTCAATTCACTTCACTCTGAGAATGAATTTCTCACTTTCGTGATAGATGAATGACTTTATCTGAATCCGCTATGAATGGAAAATGGTGATGGCACTAATGGGTGTGCTTGAAATTAAGATTAGATGGTAAGTTTGTCTGTGAAAAACGTTGTATTGTAAATACGAAAAAAGTGCTTAATTCAAAATAATGGATCCCAGGTGGTGTGCTACAAATTTTCATGATATCAAGTGAAGGTATATTTTTATGAAAGCAAATTTTGTTATGAATGCCATAGCGTCTGTTGGGCTTAAGAGAAAGGAGCTTTGCATTTGGGATGCTTATCTCCCAATGGAAACTAATATGGCTTTTCTTTTGGAGTGTAATGTGTAAGGGGTTCTTCTATTTAATACTTTCTTTTTCCTATAAAAAACAATAATAATAATGGACCACACATAAAAATAAAATAAGAGATGTGATATCCACACATCTTTTTTACTTCTCTCACACCCTTTTAATTTTCGACCGTCGGATTGGATGAATTAAAGAAGATCAAATGACAGAAATTAATAAGGATGTGAGAGAAGTAAAAAGGATGTGTGGATAACACATCCCTAAAATAAAATAAAAATAAAACGAGAGAAACTAGAGCAACAGTGGATGGCGACTGGAACTTATTAGACGGGTGAGATTTGCTGCTCCGCATCGGACGGTTGCAATTGGCCGTTGACATTTCATATTCCATTCCTATGCTAGAAGACCGAGAGATCTGGATTTGATCGGTCTGGGGTTCCATTAAGGAAGAAGAGAGCAGAGATTTCCGTTGGGATCCATCGCCACCACGCAATCAAGAAAAAGAAGAAAGCCGAGTATTCCGATGGGATCCACGGCGACTGCGCAAACAACTGATTACGATGTCTTCCTCAGTTTCAGTGGCGAAGACACTCGCAGGAATTTCGCAGACCAACTACGTGCTGCTCTGAGTAACCGAGGAGTCGTCGTATTTGGAGATGATGAACTTTATCGGGGAATTAAAAGTTCAAAAATTTCAATTGTCATTCTTTCAAGAAAGTATGCCAGGTCAACATGGTGCTTGGATGAGCTTCAGCAAATTATGGAATGCAAGGAAGTGGCTCGCCAGATAGTTTTGCCTGTCTTCTATGATGTGAGCCCATCCGAGGTACGAAAACAGACAGGCGATTTCGGTGACTTTTTTGCCGAGCATGAAGGACGTTTCAAAGACAATATCGACAAAGTGCGCGCCTGGAGGGATGCTCTTCGTCAATTAGCCAATCTGTCTGGATTTGACCTATACAAGGACGAGGATGGGTGGGTAGTTCCTTTCAGTAGCAAATAAATTTTATTTTATTTCAGTTTTTGCTATGTAATATGTATGCTTGTATTCTTTCCTGCTGTAATTTATGATAACATATGTTAAGCTGTCCAAAGAGATGAATTTTCGTTGCTAGCTAGCTTTTCATTTAGTCCTCTCATAAGAGACTACACTCGGGATTCTTTCAAATATTTCCGAAAGATTGACATTTATTTTCTTCTGCATAGGTACGAGGCACAATTTATCCAACGAATTGTTCAATGGGTTTTGAATACATTGCAAACTGTGCCATCTTATCTTGAGGACATAGTGGGAATTGAGTCAAGAGTAGAGGAACTAAATAGGCTTTTGGACAACAAATCTAATGATGTTCGCTTCATAGGGATATGCGGAATGGGTGGGATAGGCAAGACAACTATCGCCAGAGTGATTTTTGACAACATTTCCAATGAATTTGAAATTTTCACCTGGATTACTTGTCGGGTAAGTCAAACACCACAGGGTGATCTGCAACTGCAAAAGAAACTTCTTTACGAGGCTTTGAGGCAAGACATAGATGTTCCAAATGTTAACGAGGGAGCCATAATGATAAAGAACATTCTATGTAAGAGAAAGGTTCTTCTCATTTTAGACAATGTTGTCAACTTAGGCCAACTGAAATCATTGGCTGGAAACAAAGAATGGTTTGGTTTGGGGAGCAGAGTCATCATTACGACTAGAGATGTGAATTTGCTAGGAGAGCATGGTGTAGATAGCAAATATAAAGTTGACTTATTAAGTGAGAATGAGGCTTTGCAGCTCCTCAAGAAGATCGCCTTTAAAAATGATGAATTTCGAGAAGATTATTTGGAGCTGTCTACACGGTTGGTTCATAAAGCTGGATACCTTCCTTTAGCACTCAAGACTGTGGGATCCTATTTGCTCCACAAAAGTCAGGAAGAGTGGCATAATGCATTGGAAAAACTGGAGTCTGTTCCTACTGGAAGAATTTCTGAAATGCTTGAAACAAGTTATCATGCACTGCCGGACGACGAGAAAAGAATATTTCTAGATATTGCTTGTTTCTTTCGAGGAATGGACAAGGAACGAGTGGTAGAGATACTAGATTATTTTGGATTTAATGCGATGGTTGGGATGGAAGTTCTCGTTGAGAGATCTCTCGTAACTATTTCAAATAACAAAGTGTTGATGCATGACTTGATACAAGAAATGGGACAACAAATTGTACGCAAAGACTCTGTTGTGGATCCGGGAGAGCAAAGCAGGTTGTGGCTTCATGAGGATGTCATTCATGTATTGAGGAACAATACAGTAAGTGGTTTTGAAGGACGATGAAAGGTCTTAGGTTTGCTGGATCAAGGATTTCTTATCCACTATTTTGTAATTCATATTATTGTTTTAATAAATTGTTATCGTTTCTTCTTTAAAAAAATATATATATTCTGTCTATTGAACTGATTCTGAATTCTCTGTTGTTAGGGAACAAATGTGGTTGAAGGTATAGCCTTAGACTTGCCTAAATTAGAAGAGGCATGCCGGGACTTGGAGGCCTTCTCAACGATGCATAATCTCAGATTTCTCCGAATTCATAATTTGCGAATGGCCCAAGGGCCAAAAAAACTTTCTAATGCCTTAAAGTTTCTTGAATGGAGTGGGTATCCTTCAAAACTTCTCCCACCAGAATTTGAATTTGAGCAACTTTGTGAAGTTAACTTGTCCCATAGCAGCGTTGGACAACTTTGGAATAGAACAAAGGTCAGATTATGGGTAGCACATAAAAAGTTGTTTTTTTTTAATTTTTTTTTTATAATGAAGTACTAAATTTTGTGCTTTAATGTTTTGAACAGTGCTTAGGCAATCTGAAATTCGTCAATGTTAGCTACTCCCAGAACCTGACCAGGACCCCGGACTTTACGGTTACTCCAAATCTTCATAGATTAATTCTTGAAGGCTGTACAAACTTGGTGATGATCCACCCATCCATTGCTGAGCTCAAAAGGCTTATTTTCTTAAATCTTAAAGACTGCAGAAGTCTTAAACGCCTTCCCAAATGTTTTGAAATGGAAAGTCTTCAAATTCTTATTCTTTCTGGTTGTTCAAAAATTAATAAAGTTCCAGAATTTGTGAGACCTATGGAAAACTTGTTGGAACTTTATTTAGATAAGACTGCTGTAGAACAATTACCTTCTTCAATCGAATGTCTGACTGGCCTTACTGTATTAAACCTGAGAGATTGCAGAAATCTCAGTTCCCTTGCAAGCAGTACTTGCCAGTTGCGTTCCCTCAAAAGTCTCAATCTCAGTGGATGCTCAAAGCTTGAAGAACTGCCAAAAAACTTGGGAAAGATGGTTTGTTTGAAGGAGCTTGATGTGGGCGGTACCTCTATTAATGATCTACCATCCTCCATTTCCCGCCTGGAAAATCTTGAATTGTTATCCCTTTGTGGTTGCAAATCGATGCGAAGAAAGAAGACAAGTCCAATGAGTTTGCTGTTGCCGACCACTGATTCTGGTTTGCTTTCTTTAACAGTACTGAATCTCAGTGACTGTAATCTTGAGGAGGTAACAATCCTGGAAAATCTTGGCTGCTTGTCCTCAATAGTATCACTTAATCTAAGTAAAAACAGTTTTGTTAGTCTTCCCAAGAGCATCACAGAGCTGTCTAAGCTTCAGATTTTGAATTTGGGTGGTTGTAAGAGTCTTAAAAAATTGCCGGACATTTCAGCAGAATTGAACTTCAGTGTTGAGGGAAAAGGCAGTTATTCACAGGAAAGGCTGTCATCATGTTTCAGTTTTATTAATTGCTTTGAAGTGGTTGACGACCAAGGCTGCAACAAAGTAGCATTTGCAGCGTTAAGGAGATTCCTTGAGGTTCTCTCTCTCTCTCTCTCTCTCTCTCTCTCTCACACACACACACACACACACAGAAGAAAAAAAAAGCATTGTACTTATTATAAGACGGACATATCAATTGTTTAACTTCACTATTTGTAATTTTGTATTATATAGGGAATCCCTTACATAGGGAATAAATTTGAAGCTATATATCCAGGCAGTGAAATTTCTGAGTGGTTTAGTGATCAAAGTGAGAGGCCTGTGGTAAGCATGGAGCTCCCTCGACACTGGTATAAGAACGAGTGGATTGGATATGCATTGTGTGCTGTTTTCACTGTCCATCGACAACTCCCACCTAATCTGCTTGGTAAATGGAACTACGGAACCCATACCACTGCACATGGTCTTCGTTGCGAAGTGAAGCCTGGGAATTTGGGTGTAGGTGGCTGGTGTCCTTCCTTCGCCTGCAGTGAAGAATTAGGGCAAATTGAGAAAGAGCACCTTTGGATATCCTTTGTATCTGGTGAACACTTTGGTACAACATGGCAAGACAGTTGTCATCACCTTGAGTTCACATTTAAAACCTTGGGCTCTGGTTTGGAGGTGAAGAGGTGCGGAGTCCGTCTCATCTACGAGAGAGATTTGGTTGGATCAAAGCAACCTTTTTGACCAAACATCGCTTGTGCGCAATCATGAATTTGACTATCCCTTCATCTAGAGGAAACAAGCAAAACAAGCAACTCCAGTGAGTACGATGCAGTCTCAAAGAACATCTGTTTATCCAAGGAAGCTGGAAACCGGTTATGAGATGAGGTACTTTCTTTACCTGGTAAATGAACTACGCAAATAGGACGTGTCTTTTTTTAACTCATGTATATTATCTGAATCGACGTCATGCACAATTTTATTATAGTTGTTTCTTTTTTCTGAGTGAAATGCTTGAAAGGCGTTATGGTAATTAACAATGCATCCGTGAGAATCAGATTCAACTGTATTTGTTTAATGAGTGTGAATTGCATTGGAATGATCTGTCTGTACTTCTTGCTTAGACCTTATGCATCTGAATTCAGTCCTCAATGATATCCAAATTGATAAATTGCTCATCATCTAGACGCCTAACGTTGACCATAAAAAAATATGGACCCCAAAATTAGAGGGGTATTTGAATCATCAAAAACTTTGACGGGGCAGTGGTGCAATGCCCTTCCTTTTAATTCAGATTTTCTGAAGGAACCCATGTTAGGCTACATACAGGTTTCTGGGAAAGTTGGAGTAAGGGGTTGTACATTGAAGAATGTAATTGATAGGCTAAAACTATGAGTGAGTTTGTTGTTTCTAGTAAAGGCGATTTTAAAAGATTCAAAAGATATGATGCCACTTAATATGGTCTAATAATATTCCTCTTCACTGTCTTAGATTCGACTTCCTTCTTGGATGGTGAGTTGTATCTCTCATAGGCTAATCAGAAATGCAATGTCCTTCCTTTTAATTCAGATTTTCTGAAGGAACCCATGTGGCTACATACAGGTTTCTGGGAAAGTTGGAGTAAGGGGTTGTACATGGAAGAATGTAATTGATAGGCTAAAACTATGAGTGAGTTTGTTGTTTCTAGTAAAGGTGATTTTAAAAGATTCAAAATATATGATGCCACTTAATATGGTCTAATAATATTCCTCTTCACTGTCTTAGATTCGACTTCCTTCTTGGATGGTGAGTTGTATCTCTCATAGTCCTTCGAAAGAATCTCTAGTAAACTGACACATGCTAAATTGTTTAATCTCTTTACATAAAACTTGTGTGATAAGCCACTTAGTACTAGGGGTGAGCATTTGAAACCGAAAACCGAAACCCAAACATGAACCAAATCGGACCGTACCAAATGGTTTGGTTTTGTGGTTTTGAAACTGTTGTGGTTTTGAAACCAAACCCCAGTGTAGAAAACGGTTTGGTTTTGGTTTTGGCTTTTGAAAACCGCACCGAAACCGAAACAGCACCTCAAATTAGATGTCGTGTTTTAATTGGTGGTTTGTTAAGAGTCTATAGATCTAGTGTGTACATATCATAATATTATAATAATGATTATTTTTCCCAAAGTTAAAACCCTCATCAAGCTTGGCATCTTCACTGTTTCTTTACAGGAAAAGATAAACATTTTATTACCAGTAAAAGCACCTTGTAACCATAATTTTTAAGTTCAGAATGACGGTCTATATAATAGGCTAATCAGAAATGCAAATGAAAATTCAAAAAGAAACAATGAGCATCAAATAAGAGTTAGTCACAAAAAGAGAGAAACAAAGACCAATCTTCGATAAATAATAGGGAGTTTTAACGAAAAGGGTTTGGTACTATTCATTCTTAACCATAAGGACATTTTATGTATGAAAAGTTTACAATAAATCAAACTCTTCTCTTTATTTACTCTTATGCCATTACATGCGGACCACAACGATGTTGACATTTCTGTCTGGAAATACATTATGATGCTATTCATCTTATGCTAATTTACAGCTAGTTCTTCAGGCTTCCATCATGTTGTCGATGTTATGCAGCTCTTCTTCTGACAAATTATTCTAATATTGTTCATCACCTTCTACTAGCTCCGCATCTCTTTCTCTATCTTCTTTCACCTTGTAATATATTTCCGCTGTTTCTTCTTTGAAATTTTGGGGCTTCCAATAAGGCTGATGACTGATTCTTGTCTTGTTGTAAATATACATATCTTCTTCTTCTGCTACTAGTACCATATCATACCTAAAATCTTCAAACTCATCTAAAACAAACATTTGGATCCCCCTAAATTTTAAAATATCTTTGTATGAAGGAGTCCACCTATGTGAGGAGATAGGGTTTAGTCTAAAGGACTCTTCATTGATCATGGCTATATGCCTAGCTTTCTCCTTATGCATGTGTACATACCAATCTGGAGGACTACTAATAAAACTTATGCAAATTTCTTTCCACCTTTCTAGATAGTCTTCTGCTACTTTAATAAGCTTTTCAGGAAATGATTCTAGTTGAGAAATACGGTTAATAAATATTTTATCTAGATAACCAAACTCTAATAGTAAGGCAGGGGTGACTTCTACCTCATTATGCTTTTTCTGATGCTCATAACTAAAATGCCATGATTTAAAATCTCTCATGTCAATCCTGGCCACAGTTATGCTAACTTCTGGTTTACAAATACAATTCTCTGTACTCTCACAAAGACATGGAGGATACATCTTTGTAATAATATCCATCCCTGGTTTTGGATCAAATATGGACTGATACAAAACACATTGTAATTGTAATTGTAACTCTTTCATGGACTGTGATGCTCTGCTCAGGATCTCATTTTGCATATCTGTTGGCATTATTCTTAGTTTTGCTTTTGAAATTTCTTCTAATAAAACATCGTCTAATACTAAGTCTGAAGATATATTTCTAAGAAAACTTTCATAGTTTTCTTGTTTTTCTTTGTCACTCAGAACCTGATGCTGATCATTACTTTGATGTTGCTCCATTTCAACGTCTTCTTCTAAGAGCTCAATCTTAATTTCTTCTATGGGTTCATTAGCCTTTTGTTCTATGGGTTCAATAACCTCTTTTCTTTTATGCTGATCAATTTCTAAACCTATTTTTAATTCTCTTTTCAAGGTGTCACTTGCCTTTTGCTGCATTCTAAGAGATTGGAGTTCTTGGTTCATTTTGGTAAACTTACCAAGTAATGACTCATGGTCCCTAGAAATAGCTTGAAGATTGTGCTCAAGAGAATAAATATGCTGCTGGTTTTGGTGGAAATTAAAATTAAAGCTATCAAACTCTTGTTCCAAGGCTCTAATTAATTTTTCATGACCTAATCTCATGCTTGGCTGCTTTATTTGGATATTCCAGAAATTATCTAAGAGAACCTGTTGCCTATCAGAAAGCCCTGGTACCCTTGACCTGTATCTCAGAGTTGGATTTCTGATTCCTTCAACAATATTGCCATTAAAGTTGAACGTGGGTACTGGTGGTGATGCTGGTCTGCTCATGCTATTTTGAAATCCACTGAATGGTGGAGGTTGATGGTGCATCATCATGCCATTGAAAGAAACTCTTCTGCCTTGTGGCCTTGTGCTATTTGCTGATGATGGTCCACGATATTCCATACCTGTTCAACAAATTAATCTTGATAAGATATCAGCTAATGTATTGTCATTACCTTTTATATGTTCAAAAATTGGTTTAAAACAATTTCCTGTAATTGAATCAACAAAATTAACCCATCTTCGGGCTGCCTGTTTATTAGTATGTATCTTGTTATAATGAGAAACTATATTTTGACAATCTGTTCTAATCGTAAATATTTCATTATGTAAAAATAAAGAAAATGTTTCAAGTGAATTAATTATCCCTAAAATTTCTAAATCTGTTGATGGTAATCTTGACTATACATTACTAACTTTCCTGAGGAATATCTACAAACTTGTTCGTCAGACTTTGGAGATTCCCTATGCTTTTTCTGGTATAGTATACCTGCCCATCCTAATGATGAAGCATCTGTTTCGACTATCTTATAACTATCATCTAATGGTAATGTTAATGGCTTAAGTTTAGCAATTTCTTCTTTTATTTTTTGAACTAATTTAATATCTTCACTATTAAAATATTTTTGTCCCGTTTTGCTAGTTTTACTATGTAATACTGCTATTTTTCTTCCTAAATCCGGGATAAAATTTCTTGCATAATTTAGCAATCCTAAAAATGCTTGTAACTGTTTCTTATCTTCTAATTTGTTTGGAAATTCTAATACCTTTTTAGCTATATGATCTTGTAATTGTATCGTACCTGACTTGATATACATTCCTAAAAATTTTATATCTTGTTTTTCTAATGCTATTTTGTTTTTGCTAATCACAATCCCATTATTAATAAATTCTTGTAAAACTATCTCTAAATGCTTCCTATGTTCATTTCGATTTTTACTATGTATTAAAATATCATCTACATAAACACAACAAAAATTATCATATTTCTTGAAAATTTGATCGATCTTTCTTTGAAAGATCGATGGAGCATTTTTAAGTCCAAATGGCATAACAAGCCACTCAAAATGTCCTTCGGGACAAGTAAAAGCTGTCCACCCAATTGATTCTTCTGCTAATCGTATTTGCCAAAATCCTGATTTACAATCAAATTTACTAAAATATTTACTTTGTTGAATTTTATTTATAAGTTCATCTTTATTTGGTAACTTATAACTATCTTCATATGTATTATCATTTAACCTCTTATAATTATAAACTATTCTAGCCTTTCCTCTTTTTAGCTCTGAATGTTTTCTTACTACAAATGCTGCTGATCTATGTGACAGCCCGTCCCTAATTTTAAGAATTTTTAAAGTTTTAATAAAGAATTTTACAAAAATGCCATTTGAGGCACGCGCATTGTTCGAGGTTAATCGTTGTTTCGTGCCATCCAAGATTTGTTTTCTTGACATATCCTCGTAGTACTCGTCGCTACGAACGTGTGGGCGCAGACAGTTCATTATTTGGAGTTATAATGAAAAAGATTTTAAAGTTTGAAGTTTGGACATTTTATGATTTTTATTATTAAAATTTGGATGGCCCAGATTTAAGGATTTTGAAATGGATGGCTTAGATGTAAGAGAAAGAAAATAAAAATAAAATTAGGAAAGAAGGTTTTATGTGTGTGTGTACGTGAAGAAGAAGAAGAAGAAGAAGAAGAAGATTTAGGACTGGGCAAAAACTGCCCAACCAGAAGAAGAGAGAGCCAGAGCTCCGGGAGAGAAAGGAGGGAGTCCAGCGAATCAGGAGAAGAGAGAGGAAGGGCTGGCCAACCAGGAACCAGGAAAGGAGGAAAGGAGAGAAGGCGAGAAGCGGAGGAAGAAGAACAGAAATGGGTCACAACCCGCGACCCGGTGGGTTTTCCACCCATTTTCGTCGAAATTTCTTCATTTTTCCAGCGAATTGGATCAAGGTACCACTCCCAATCAACATCTAGGCCTTCCCTCTTTACGTTTTACCCCAAGAATCATTGAATTTTGTTGTGATTTCGCGAAGAACACCCATACGGGTGCCGCGACCCTTTTGTTCAAATTCTCCAAATTTTGAAATGTTTTCTTTCAATTACTAACACCTTTAGCATTCCTTTAGGACCTAGAACAAAGCCCAAGAGGTAATTGAGGCGTTGGAACAAGTTTGAAGGTCGAATTGGAAACACCCAAATTCTAGGGTTCTTCACGGTTTTGGTGAAATTGAAGCACTTCCAGGCCAAATTGGCCTTGGTCTCAGGTATGAAAGTTGTTCTACTCATTGAGATCTTCAAATCTGCAAATTTTGATAATTTTTGGAAATAGTTGAATTTTCCGGCGAGCCGGGGACGGCCAACCGCCACCCGCGGCGGCGCGTGGCCAATGGCCGCCA